TATATGTATATATATATATATATCGCAGTATCTCGAATATCGTATCAACTGAAACATGAGGCGGCCTAGTGCAGCACGTGAACTCACAAACGCGAGATTCAGTTGAGTTCCAGATGAGTCTATCGCAAGACTAAATTTGTTTGCAAATGAATGTATTTCGCTGAGATCTTCAGTTCTTCCTACGTAGTCACCTTTTAATGTTCCGGCTAACTTCGATGGTTCTGCCTTGGTCCCACAACCCAGTCAGCTGTGTGAATCCGGATGTAGATCTCCTGTTCTAGTCTTGTGATACCTTTTACCCAGGTACTCTCATTCTCTCAAATCTAGCCGCGTAGTGGCTATTTCACGTGACTAATTTATAAATTCTGCATGAACTTTTTTTGATTTTTTTTTTCAAATCGTTTCAGTTCAAACCTCTATAAGAACTTTTTGTACTACTGATGTATATTTTCTTGCAATTTGTTGGATGAACTGCAGTTGTTTTTAGGCAAAGTTGGAGTCTTTCGGGCAGAATAACGAGTGGCGTGCAATTCTCAAGGATACTTGGTAAATAATGAGAACATATCGAACAGCCTGGTTAACATCCGCAACGGTTTAGTTGAAGACCTACCGTTTGGAAAATTTTTCGGTGCGTTTAGTTAGGTTGTCTTTTTAGGGTTTCGATATCAACTATCGCGAGTAAAGACATCCTGGACTACCTAGATGAATTTTTTCCTCTATCTCAATTCCACAAAATTGTGGAATTTAATGTACTGATGTGGATCTTTCTTGTCTGTGTGTTAGTACTAAACCATACAATCTGTTCATCTTCATCAGTGAAACCGAGTTCAATGTAAACAGTCAACAGACTCAAGCAGCTCCTTAGCCATCACCGAGGGTTGGAAGTGACAAGTATGTTTCCAGTGTAACGCTTATATAACAGAAATAATTGCACGAGCGCTTCTAGGATGTTAGTAATAAATTGAGTCAACGTTGGATCTGGTGGAGAGCCTGCCGCAACTGCATTTCTTCGCCAGTAGATGGTTCTCACAATCAGGTTGGCCTATCGCCCCCGATGAATAGGCGAAGTCCATCACAATCGTTTTATCGAAAGATTTTCCAGTTCTCTTACATACATTCTTTCACTTTCAGAGTCCGTATCGTTGGACGAACCACCGCATGACGAAGTTTCGCACCTGGAGCCTCCCGAAGCAACCGGTGACTCCAGTGAAGTTCCCCCAATCCTCACTCTCTCTGGTGAGATGGTTGCTGAAGTTGCAACAGAACAATGAAGCACTGCATACGGCTAAATTTTTTGTATAATATCTGTACAGTCCGTCTACCGGTTGTCCTTGCCACTGTAGACTTCACAAACCCCATGTTCGATGTTTGTGCTCCGGCCGGTATTTCCTATGTATGCGAACCATATTTTACATTCTAGGGATCAGTCCGTTTTGGCAGGCATTCTTTACTTTTTCAACAATTTCTGTTGACCATTTCATGTCAAATCAACTAACGCAGTTGGCATAATACAATCTTGTGGCTTCACTTGTTTGTTTATCATGTGACATTGAAGGCTTGATCGGCCACTCTTGGCCGAATGGTGTAGTGTTGTGTATTCAACCTCGAACCTATCTGGTTTTTCGTGATACGTGCACTGTAGACGATTTCCAACAGGGGCGAAGCAGCTCTACAGTGCTTCTCAGCGTAGGTTAGTTTTACTTACGGAATGAAATGTATGCTGTAAAAATGCTAGGCTTTTAATGTATGAGGAAATGCAATCCAAACAGACGGTGAGCAGCCTAACGATGAGCATAGGAGATAAATGGCTCTGCTTGATTATATGGGCAATGAATATTATACACTGTTGGGCTCTAGGTTTGGGGGCAGAATTCATACGGGACTAGCATCCTCATTATACCAGAGAGATTTCGTCTAAGTAGGGGGTTCGTCCATATGTGGAGTTGTCCTTCCTGTATAGATATGGTATTACCTGGTTCACTTTGACTCTACACGTGCCTTTTGTGGGTAAACAGAGTTTAAGATCTGTGGCTATCTGTTTTACGGAGATGTCGCCTCTGTCGGAACAAACCAGGTACCAGTTGGATGAATGAAACAGGAGTTTTGGCCTGTGTACACCAGTGTGTCAATGGGAGCGATTACAGTTATAGTGGGGTGCTCAATGGCGAACAGGAAAACACGAAGAAGAAGATTAGAGTGTGAGGAAAGTTGACATAGACTGGATGGTTTATTACACGTGTGCAGTGCAAGGGGTTCTCTTGAATGGGCCATATGTTTGCCTGGATTCACCCGGTCGAGGAGTATGTAGAATACACGAATCCGAGTACGTCTGGTAACTCAGCTCTCAAAGGTTCATTACATTCTGAAAAGGAGAAGAATGTGCATTATCAGAAGAATTCTGGTTATTTCATACTAATTTGAGCAATATCTTATTTTCCAATTGACGAGAATACTGGTAACCGAGACTGTAACGACAGTAATGTTCAGCACTGCAGGCCAAGATGGCTGGACCATATGCGACGCATGTCGAAACGAGCGATGTTCTCCGTGCCTCATTCGGAGTAACCGAAACCTAGAGGTGGACAGAATTTGACACGGCTGAAAGAAATGGAGTACGGTACGAAATGATTGAGTGGGGTTCGCCTTCTAGGATGGGATCACGTGACCGTCCCTGTGCTTGGCTGAAGACACTAAACGATGTGGCGGCTAACCGATGTCAGTTTTTCAGTCGGTATGTTATTCGAGATAGCTTGGTATATATTTTCTTCAGGAAACACTACTGGTAATGTCGAAGCGTTTTTATCAACCGTATGAATAGTGTCCCTTCAAGAAAACGATTGATTTACTTTGTTCATGCACCGACCTAGCTAGATCCTTCACAATGGGTTCTAGGTTTAGTGTACGGTAAATTTCGAGCAAGAATTTCACCTGAAACGAAATCCAAAAACCCAGCTTCGTGGGCTCAATTGTGGATAACTAGACGAGCGTACGGTGACGAAATCGCGGTCTCACGAGTTGCCCATTCGATCAACACAATAGGATCACAAGAATCCCGTCGACACACTCAAATACTGGTTAGTTCAAGCCATACTTTTCTGTGTCGACCTCTCACGATCATTTCTGTAAGTCTTGATTCACCGAATTTTCTCAAACAAAAAGCGACTCCTGGATCCTAATCTAACTACAGGTTTTATCACCAGGAGATTGAAAATACGATAGGAAAGCATCTCTCGATAAGACATCTCACTGCTTGTGAAGAATGAAAAGACGCGTTGCAACTTTGTGAGCATAATTCTCCGTGAATATTTTTTCTTGTTCGGATTTTGACCGATCATTTCAGGGATGCGAGAAGAGCTTGGTTTCCGTGTGTTCATCAGAACAGTGCAGAACTCCGATGATTCAGGTCAACTAGCCTCCGATTCGTTACCATTTCTATTGGATTAAAACTCATGCCATCTTTACGGTTGATGTGACACTGGATGATCTCAAGACTTACGTTCCGTCCTACTTCACATTAACTCGTGCTTGTTTTGTTTATTATGCGTGTCAAGAAGGTGTGACACTTCTGCAGAACAAGAAACCGGTTCACACGGCTTAATCCAAGACCTACACTTCAGCAGAACAAGAAACCGGTTCACACGGCTTACCGCACCACCATGTCTCCCATTTTATTAAGCAAAGAGGTGGTAAGCTTGTAATCTGTAGATTTCAACGTAACGAAGTACCTTTGTGGTGTATTACTACCTCAGGTATACACCCATGTTCGGGCTGGTTGGGTTCCTGTCACAGATACGCATGGATCGGCGTTGATCAGTCTTTTCCAAGCACTCAGCTGGACTGTTAGTGTATTGTGCGGAAGTTCCTACCTATTATGCTGTCAGCTATTGAGTGAAAAATCAGATCAAGTAGTCATGTGTTTCCCCTCCCCCATTTTTCTTTATTCTGTGCGCATTTCCCGTTATTTTGGGGGTCTGGGACCATTATCGAAGTATCCTCAGACATCACCAGTTTGTATCAGATTATTATGGATTAATCGTTTCCGAACGTGACCAGCTGGTTGATCAATCGTTTTCATGGTCCCGTCCCATCCCGTGATTCTTGAAATCTGTTATTCACGCAGAACGCCCGTTTCATGCTCGCTTCATGAGGTGTCGTATTAAAGAACTGGGTTCAACACACCGAGGAATGTTCAGGAAACATGAAAGTGATAGGCAGTTTGTTCTCGTGCCTTCAGGTTACTTTTGGTCGCTAATGCTGACCGTATCATATCACAAAACGAACACATATGCACGGAAGCAATCAAACTTTAAGAAAACAGGTTTCATTCTGATGAGAAGAACGGTCCAATTCCATTGAGTCATTGAAGTTTTTTGAGAAGCCGTCCTATGCGGTCCTCCAACGCGGGTGTTGGGTTATCACAATCAACCCAAAGTGGTTGATTGCTAGTCGTGTTAAATACGGTTTCAAGTGAATGGTATAGTCTAGTTTTGTTGCACGAATCTCATTCCCGCTTACTTACCCGGCAGATACTGCTCCCTTATATCAACTTGGCAGTAAATATTCCTCATCTGACGAAAGACAATCATATGTTTCTCTGTTCCTCAATTTAGTTTCATCCATAAACAATATTTTGTTCATCTCCAGTGATCTCAACCGATCCGATACGTCCTTCTTCTGAATACCAGGTTCCTGTGATCCGATGAGTTTCTTTATCTATCCGGATTTCCTATTTGAATTTCGAAAACATTCCAGTTTTTGTCAAGTTTTTACGGAAAATGGGTGGCTTCTGGGAGTGGACGTGCTTTCTGGTAGTGGCTCGCAATTATAACGGAAACCCGTCTTCTACTCATTTGGACTTTCGGGGTCAGACTGCTTCTTATGGTAGCACATGTTCTAAGCCTTTGTACTTTTCAGGTCGAATGTAGATTTAGTGAAGTTTGTTCACTCAGTAAGGAAGTGGTTCGAAAACGCACTTTTACAGGTCCTGGATCGCTCGGGTTGGCATGTCCCCAATTACATCGGAATGTTATCTTCACCGGTATCCGTTTGATGTTTGGAAATTTCGACGACCTCTAGGGGTGAGCTCGTTTCCTGCCGAAGTCTTGATCTCTTGTCTTAACTGATATTCATTTGGCATTTAGTAATTTGGTAGCGAATAGTAAACTGTCGAGTACTAACATGTATTTGCTTTGATCTTACCTACATCTGACAGTTGGCAGTCATGACAGATTTGATATTTTTTAGCGTAGCTTTGGTTGGGCAACGTGGTACGTTTGCTTCGTAATGCCAAAGTCGACTACGTAAGCAACTATCTTGGCTTTCCACTCTGTTCTGCAAGGTTGTTCTGTGATGGAGTGCACCCCAAAGACTAATGAGGTTATTACCACGCCTTGGGTGCTTCTTCCGTTGGCATGACAACTAGAAACCGAAAGGGCTGAACCACTTACTACCCCCTCACTAGGTAAGACATAACTAGCCACATATTTCGATGGCATCCATTTCAACTATTGTTGCTTTATGCTCATTATTCAGAGTAAAAAAGCTACGGAGGTTGAAAGAACGACCTTACGAAGCTGGGCGGCAGGTCGACCCCAAATGTATCAACAACTAGTGAACTCAACTGAACGCTCAAATCGCCTCCCTTTTGAAGCCATCTTGGAGGAAAAAAGCTGTGCGACGAAGCTAATATGCAAACCTATGCACCTCTTTCGCATCCTATGATCTATTTTAAAACTGCTCGCCTTGTTCCACTCATACGGATACATGCCAACTGTACACAGGATGAGGTGTAGCGCTGTAAACCACATTAATTTGAGACTAATGGTTGCTTCAATGGAACCACCGTTTCCACTGCGGATCAGAGCAGATCATGCAGTACTTCACACTCAACTGTCGACCTTTAACCTTTGTTATACAAATAACGCGAACGCCACCAAGCAAAGTACTTTTCTTCGTCTTTCAAGTAATCCCCTATTTGATTACTAAGTTCGTATGCATCACTGCGATCAATCTGTAGGTGGTTTGGAGGAAGAATATTTTTAACAAGCTGAGTGAAACTCCCATCTGAGAAGTCGTCATTTGAGGAACCAATCAGTGAGTGACCACGTGATGTCTGTGTGGTTGAACGATCGGCGGCACTGTACCTTGTTTAAGTGAGAGCTTTTCAGACTGCTTTCCAGCCACTCGTGGCCGAAGAACCGTTCCACAATTAGCCGGAAGTTTGCGTGTTCGAATCCCTGAGTTTCGTGAGATACATACTGCTGTTCTTCAG